GGTATGAAAACTCACTTGCGTGAATGCAATAGTTTGTCATGGAACCCATGTATTCTTAAAGCATGTTATACTAATACCCCTAAACAATGTCAGTGAAAATCAATATAGTTTAAGGGATTTTTAAAAAAAAGAATAAAGTGTTGTCATACTTATTTCAGTGTAGTACTGTACCTGCCTATCAGGCTCTTGCTCTGTGTATCAATATCTTAAAAATGTATTGTTCACATATAGATACTTTTAATTCATGTTAATGTTAGCACTATTATTTTTTGAGTAAATATTTAATTGACAATATCCAGCTACCCTATTAAATAAAAAGAACCTCCCATTAAGGCCTAGGTAATGAGATAATTTTAACGACAACTGAGAATAGAGTCTTGTAGTCTTTCTGTTAAGAGTTATTGAATAATCTCACAGCTTGTGTGGTGCGAAAATGTGTTCCAATAAGCAGCTAAAATTTATTTAGGATTTGTGATCGATTGCTCCGTAGACGCCATTTATTGTTTACCAATGACTTTTGCTGTGGTGGGATAGTGGTTTACTGTTCTTACTCTCCCTGGCCTCTAGGGGTCCTTGCCTGAACACCAGACTACCCACCCGCCAACAGAGCCAGGGGCATGTGTTCTGTGTTAGGCAGATATTTTGCTTTGGTACTTGCACATTTACAGTTACCTCATTTTTTCCATGTTTGTATTGGGGGGGGTGGGGTGGGGGGAGAAAACAACTAATATATATTATATATAGGAAATGGTTCTTATTAATGTTATAATTTTTCATTCCATTGGAATCATATTGTTTGTAGCATTTAACATAACTAGTTAGTGTATTATATATACATCTGTATACTGTTTGAAATTTTTAAGATTTGTACTTTTTTTAAATGAAAGTTGCTAGTTATGCTTTACCAAGTAGTGCAATCATATTTTTTTTTAATTGTTGTGGCTGATTTGAAAGGGTTGTTCACTAATAAATGTATGATGTATACCAATATCACGCTCGTCTCACTTGACTACTGAAGGGTTAAAATGCTGCACGTTCTCAAAACTACACCGCTGCTTATGTGATGCATCGGTAACACAAGCAAGTGTCGTACATTGTCAATAAACCCACATTTTTAAAATGTTTTTAATTTATAGTTGGAAAATTACATCTTTACATGAGCCCATTTAGATGTTACAGGCAAAACAGGCATCTATGAGTAACCACAGGCACACTATGGGCAGACTCGTACTATACTAGATAAAGCCACATGTAAAAGCTGTGGCCTCTGTTAAATATTGGATTTTAAACTTCATGAGCTTGAGGCAGTCTGCTTGACATAGTAACCAACCTGCATTTGGTCATTTTATGACACAGATGAGTCAAAAAAACAAAAAAAGGAAGGTAAGTTGGGGTTTTTAAATATCTAACTTATGTACAGGAAATGGCTCATTCAAAACAGGGTTCCCATAATTCCTTAATGTCCAAATTCACCAGCCTGCTCCCTGAAGTAATACAAATGCTCAATGCACCACATAGATTAACAAGCACAGCAGTACCAACCACTCAGACCAGATCTGTGCTCGTCAGTCAGTGTGGAGGAAGCATGTGTAAACTTTAGGGCAGAAAGGAAGTTGAATTAGGACACACAGATCAAACATGAAGTCGTTGACAAAACAAGAATAGCCAAGGCAATCACACCACCGTTGAACTCCATACTTCTCCATCATGCTGCATCCTGTAGGTATTAATACAACCTGCCTTCCACAGTTGCCCAGACATGAACTAAACTGGGATATGGTTCTGGCTTTGCACAAAGCTATGCTACGGTTTCAGTACATTTCAGTAGATGAGTAATGCTTTGCTGTAACGCTTACTGGTGAGGAAGGACGATAATTAACTGGTAGCTAGTACAGACAATGGAAAACAAACTTCTTTGTCCAAACGGATACAAAGATGAGTTCAAGGAAGGACTTCAAGAAATATTTATTTGATAAAATTCAAGACTTTCCAGGCTATTGGGAACCCTGTAAACACAACCAAACAAGGACTGGATGCAGGGTGGTTAATCTTTTTCCAGGTTTTATCTCAATGATCCCTTGTGCATAATGGCCATTTAACAAAAGAAGAAAAGAAAAAGGAGGAGTGGGTGGGCATTGGAGGAAAATGTGTTTCCATGTAGAGGAGGTATGTCATCTATTAATCGTCCGTAAGGTCCTGAACAAAAAGGACCTCGGAGCGGCTGAGTCCCGCCTCTTTCAGCGTCGGAGGGTTGGGCTGCTCTTCAGTTGGAAGGCAGGGCAAGACTCGGCGAGGGAAGTTTGTAACTATCTGAAACTTCTCTGGGGATTCTTTCAAAGAGAACAGGAAGTCGTATATTACCTGTGGAGAGAAAATAATCAAGTCAATTGGCAAATAAGTGGCCACAAGTGTTGGTGCAGATATAGAGAAAGACGCTTTATAATAATGCAGTATTTTTTACTGTGTTTTTAGAACAATGAGACATTCAGATTACTTTTTCCGCTCATATGTGGACCAAGTCCGTATCAGATGAACAAACAAATATACAATCCTGTTCAAAAGTTTGGAATCACCCGTTATATTTACGTTCCTTCCTTGAACACTTGTAATTTTAACAGATAAAAACAGTATAATTCACACACCAAATGTATTATTCACATGTATTTGT